AAAGGGACGCTTACTACCAGTTACCTTTGTGCAGACGAACATGTGGTAGTTGCTGTTGATCACAGTTTCATTCAGCTGGACATAAGGTCGGCTGCAGGCCATAATGTAAGAAATATAATTTCTTACTTTATTCCAGACTCCATTTGGATTTTGGAAANTTCAGTGAATGCGCATATGAAACTGGTGGGTTTGGTACCTAAAAAAAGGTTAAGAACTACTGCTCTAGAGTCTAGACACTGTTCTGCTTATATTATGACCATATGAGAATAGAAACAAAGAAATATTTTAGTTCTTAGTACTTGGTCATAAAAAAGGACCCTTATATATTACAAAGAAGAAAAAAAGAGGAGGAAGTGACATTTCCTAACAGAACGGTGCTTTCCCACAAAACCTAAAAAGTCATGTATTCTCAGCACCCAGAAACCTGGTACGGGGTTCCCTTTCATTTAGGCTGTTATTTCCTGTTGCAAGTACCTCAGGCGGTGTCTTTCCATTAAGATCTGGGACAGTTCCCATGCCGTCGCCTGGAAAGGAGCAGATTGAGACGCCTGTAATCACAGATCAAGTAAACATAGTTGAGATGCAGAGTGCTGCTTTGTGGCTGTTATTTGTCATCTTCTGTTTCTCTGCTGCAGTTTGTAAGGACAGCGATTCACTTCTTCTGAATCTGTTCATTTCTTCATCCAAGACACACAATAAAATGACTTTTATTTTTTTTAAAAAACTGTGCATTTCTCCTGAAGTTTTTAACCACAAAATTAGTGTGTAGACAGATATACATCAGTTAACATTAGACTCCACACCCAGCCCTAACAAAACACACCACACACATTATCTGCTGTCATGACAGCCTGCCCACCAAAATATAACTTTTACTTGGTTTATAAGGCTGTATTGGGTAGAGGTTTTAAATAAGTTTCCGGTCCAATCCTTAATTAGATATATGTTCTGCCCTGGCCGGCTGCCATGATGCCACTGCAGCACAGATGTTGAAGGAGGAAAACCCCGAGTTTGGAAACGAGCTGACTGGAATGTTCTGAGAAGGGAAGGGCTGGCACACAGGAAGTGACATGACAGTTTAGTCAAACAGGGCTGTTGTGTACATGATTACACACACACCACTCCACACAAAGGTCAGGGCGTTCCACCAGCTGCCATGCCAGCTGATTCACGAGGGCATCTCTGTGCATTTCCCAGAGGTGTCCAGTCAGGATTTTTTAAAGGGGATGTATAATGCAAAATACACATTTTGCGCGTTTTTGTACTTTCATTTGGGTTTCTGCTGCTTTTAAAAACAGTCCCAGCGCTTAATAAAACCACCCGGCTGGTTTTTAGCGATTACTTATTGTTTTTTGATGTTAGGAAAATGAGCCGTTTCAAAAACCTTCGGAATGTAACGTCACAAATTAGCAGGCACTGCTCATTACCTAGCAACCTCAGGGAAGCTCAGCCTGTTACCTAGCAACACAGTTGGAACTCCAGCATGTTTTTACTCACATGTCGTAACAGAAAACATCTGTCAGTTTCTGTCAGTGGGACTAGTATTACTTTATTAATATTAAGAAATTATTCACTTAAAGCAAGCTCTTATATGTTTCTGAAAAGCTCCTTGAAAGTTAGTTTTTACTTATTTCAATTGTTCTAACATAATTCTATTACAAACTAGACAAAACACACGGAAAAACAATCTTCTTTTTGCAAAACAATTTATCTTCGCAATTTGACACCTTGAAATAATCAAAATACCAATGGAAACATGCAGTTATGAGAAAGGTTTGATTGTTCTAATGCCAGTAAAAATATTTATACTGCCTATTGAGGGTTATTTAATATTTGGCTTATTTACAAATTTGACTAAAATTAACCTGTGAGAGATGCCTGCCTCATTTTCTCATTTTTGACTAAACTTTCCAATATTTCCAATCTTGGTGAAGTTCAGAAAACTCAGGTAGTATTGGGGATATTTTGAAGATGGAAAAGAACCATTACATTTATCTTATTAAAAAAAGTCTTTAGTTTGACTCATTAAACTAATTATGGTTTTAAATTTTTGACTAGTTAACATAAATTCAGATTCATACTGCAGTTGTGGATGTGTAAATTTTTTAATAAATTTTTTTAAATATGAAAACTTTTTCTATGTTTGCAGATGGAACATTTGCTTATCCACTATAAGATAAATGCAAACATGATATTGTCTTAGTGTGGACACATTTTTCTTTCACCTGTTTCTCTGCATTCTTGAGCTGCAACCTGCAGCACTGTGTATTCATGGAAACTGGTTTGTAACTGGAGCTGCTGCGCCTCCATTGTGTCTCATTTATCAGCTGTCAGACTTCTTATGACGGCTTTTCAGTCGAGTGCAGAACAAAGACAGATCGCTGTCCACGAGGAATACCACTGCAGATTTTTGTTTCTCTCTGACATGAAACTTACTGCATGATTGAGTCGGATGTGTGTGTGTGTGTGTGTGTGTGGTTGTGCATGTATGTGTGTGTGTAAATTTTTTTATTATCTCTGAATGCACTACAAGATAGTTTCAAATGATTGCAGAAAAAGACGTAGTAATAAGGAAGTGAAGGACGAGTCTCAGTTTTATAAAAAGGTTGATTTTTGGATTCTTACAGGAATTCACTTGGACTTTTCAACAACCTTCGCTGCACCATCACATTATTTTTCATTTGCTTTCATGTTTCATAACTTTCATACACTTTAAGTGTTTCAATGTATTTTATTCATTCAATTCAATTCAGTACATTTACATTACATATTTATATTCACAACAAACGTCATCTCAAGGCCATTTGCCAAAAACTAAAAAATAAAAATAATAATGTCCATTCAATCACACATTCATTTGAATTACAATCACATCAATTCTCACATTAAATCATATCAAATTTCGGCACATTTAAATCTTTATAGGTTTATGTTTGAGTAAAATAAACGTTGTTCTTTTATTCTATGAACTACTGACAACATGCCCCTGAAATTCCAAGCAAAAATTTAGCATTTATTTGCAGAAAATGAGAAATGGCCAAAATAACAAAAAAGATTAAGTGCTTTCAGACCTCAAATAATCCAAAGAAAATAAGTTCATATTCACTTAGAAACAAGAATACTAATGTTTTAACTCAGGAAGAGTTCAGAGATCAATATTTGGTGGAATAACCAGGAGGTTTTTATTGGGATTCAGTGCAGTGGGTTCTTCATTTTCTCCAGAGCTGAATATGGATGGATCATTGGTTTTACATTCAGTTAGAGCAGTAAAAGAATAAAAAACCTGTTTGCAACATGAAGTGATAATGTAATCAACTGTTGCAGAGGAAATGCATCAACACCAGATTATTAGTGAGCCAACAGTTCCCATTATCACCATGATGTGCTGAGTAGTCAGAGCTGCCGTCTGTTCAGTGAAGCCCACAGCACAGAATAAGTGTTTCTGTTGCAGAGGACGTCAATTACTGCTTCTTCTGGTTCCTCTGGGTGCAGACAGTACATTCAGGCTGTACAGCAGTGGTTTGTTCTTGGTATAAAATTTGTTAAATGAGTCCTTTAGCAACTTCAGCAACTGCGATGAGAGCCCAGATAAAGTGCAGCAGGGTGTCCAGCGGTCCTTTGTGTCTCTTTGCTGTGGAGGAACATTAAATTGATTGTTGCCTCACATCTCACGGCTTTTTCCTGTCTCATGAAGTATTACCTCACATGAAGATGGGTCCAGATTTTTCAAAGCTACATGAGAAATTTACAACAATTGTACAAATAAAATGCGGGTATATGTATGGTTACTTTAATGTATAAATTTCTATTAATTTGTTAGATTTTAACTCATACAAACTTTAAATGCACTTAATATTTTTTTATCATAAAAAACAAAAGGTATTCAAGGTATATCAGTTTCAGAGTTGCTTTGAACCATAATAAATGAAGGATTAATCAATATTTTGATTTGTAGCAATGGCACTTGTAACGTTTCAGTAGTTGACTATGAATTTGTATTTTTGTGTTTTTTTTTTAACTGCCTCATTCCTGACATGTGATATACAAGTAAACTTGATTGATTGATCAAATATATGTATCTATTTATATTAGGGTTGCAAGTAACGATTATTTGTGTAATCGATAATTCTGTCAATCATTTTGGCAATTAATCTGTTAAACAATGGCACATTCTGCAGACTTTAATGAAATACATTAATAGATTCAAATAAAACAACAATTCACTTCCTTTTTTAAATAAAATATAAACACTTTATTGCTTAAAACGCAATGACAAAGGATTCCTCTAGTTAATGTTTGGAGATTTGTTTTACAGAATTTGAACCAGGTGAAGCTAATACTAGGCCATTCAAGGAGTTTTGAACATATTTACAGAAAAATTATGTTTTTCATCTTAAATGCTAAATATATATACTTTTTGTACAGTTTGGCCTTAATTACTGCTCTGAGTGGGTTGTTATTTCAGTAATTGGCTTTTTTTTTAGTTTGTATCCTCCAGTTCATGATATAAAGGTTATTAAATTAGTTGACAAGTATTTAACTGCATTATTAAAGTCTTTATTCTGGTGTTTTGGTCTCAACTAGCCCATTTTTTGAAGGACAATTTTGTTTGTAGAGACTTTATAATTAATTTTATTTGTTGTTTTTGTTGTTTTCTTTCTTTATTTTTGGATATTTAAAATGTATTCCTGCTCCAGTGTTAAATGTTCATTATGATTTATAGTTTATTGATATTTGAAAATGCGTTCCTGCATTATTATGCTATTATTACCATTATATTACTTGAAAATGATCTCAAAACAACAATATTATTGTTAAGGCAATAATTTCTGGAACAATTTATCGTCCAGCAAAATTTGTTATCATGAGAGGTGTGTGTATATAGTGTGCACTACTGACCTGCTGAGTCATGGTTGTGATGCTGATCCTGTTATGTACGTTGAACCTGAAGGAGAACCCCTTGGCTGTGATTTATTAGATTTTCTCTCTCTCTTATCCAGATGTGTTGCTGAACTCGTTGCCCCATCCTTGCCGGATCTTGCTGTTTGTGAACCCGCAGAGCGGGAAAGGACAAGCCCTCACCTTGTATAACAGCCACATCCAGCGGATGCTCAATGAGGCGGGAGTCATACATAAACTCATTATCACTGGTGAGTCGAGTTGCTGGCTCAAGTTTCGCAATCCAGCTTCCACACCATGCTACAGCCAATGCTATCGTTTTGTTTTGATTTTTCATCTGAAAAAGCCAGAGACATTCCCAGCTTCAGGGAATGTGAAATGCAGGAGAAAACATTTCTTAGCCAGACTCGATTCTCTGCGAATCCTGGGGTTGTTGTCAGCAGAGATCTGCTTCAACCCAATGCAACGATAAACAGAACAAAGCAGCAGTACACTAAGTGGAGTTTTGCCTCGTTGTTGGGAAATTATATATATTTTTCCCTGTTTTTATTTTACAACAGCTGTAAAGGAGGGTGGGGTGACAGAATGAGGTCACAATGCACTCACAGTCATAGAAATGCTAAGAAGCAGCTTCCTTATCATAGCATGTTTTTATCTCAGTTCATACTAACGAGTATGTGAGATGCTGAATGATAGAAATACTCAGGGCAGAAGGGCTGCAGCTAACAATTATTTTAGTAATCAATTATTTTATTGGTTATTCTGATGGCTGATCATCAGAATAAAAAATTGGCACATTCTGTGAATTTTTAATTTAATCATTTAATTTAATCATTTTTTCTACAATATTGGAAATAATTAAAAGATTAAAATAAATAATTCAATTCCTTTGTTTAAATAAGGAAATGTTACAAAACGCTTGATCATTTGCAGCAAAGGATGCAACTACTTGCATCTACAATGCAGTGCTGAGCTGATCTCTTGATTAATTTTTGATTAATGATTAATAACTGGATAGCAAAAGGCGATCAATAGGAGATTTTCTTATTTTTACAGAATTTGAATGATGTGAAGCTAAAGCTATGTAGAATGTGTTTACAGATATAGATGTTTTTTAAGATGTTTTTGCTCTGAATGTGTTTTTCTTTTAGAAAATTTTGACTCAGTTGCGATTTCCAGTTAACAATTAATCAATTACTAAGTCAGTTGACAATCATTTCAATAATCTCTTTGTCATCATTAATCCGATTAATCGCTTAAGCCCCAGCGTACACGACAACATGATTCATAATACTGGATTCACAGGACAAGACAAGACTTGAACAAAATATTAAGAAAGCTTTTAAAATAAAGGCTTTACAAATTATTCAAGAATCTCTGTTCAGCGTAAAGTTGTACAGATCAGGTCTGATCATGTTCTGTGTTTTAGTTTTTGAACCAGAGTTGATGAAATTCTGTAAAAATTGTTAAAAAGTTATCCGCATTGTTAGCGGATAACAGTTCGCTTGTTGTGACAGCAGCTGAAAAACTTATGCCCTATTGTCCATTCCCGTGTGTTGCCAGCTCACTTTCCACAACCAGCCAATCAAGTTCTTCAACTGGTTAATCTCTTGAATTCATCATTATTTTTCTCGAATATAATGAAAACACAATTCAGGGGTTAAGGTCAGTTGTACAGATTAAAATCAAAGCTTGATAAAATGAGATTTTTCATCAGTCCAGGTTTCAGAAGTGCTAAACTTCACAAAACAAATGATAAGATATAAAACCAGTAACTAAAAATCTCCAGCTATGCTTCAGCGTTCGTCTCTCTGTATCTGTGTTGCACTCATCTAGACTTAATCCTCTTCCTGTTTTCATGTATTCACCATCGTTATGCTGATCAGCAGCCGCCAACCCATATGCAGAGCCGTTATATAATAAATATGTTTACACACTGTTAGATACACTGAGTGTACAGAAACACACAGACACCAACACTGAATCCCTTCTACACATAAAAAGTTTTTTATTAGTGGTTTGACTTGATTAAAATTTTTAATCAAGTTAACTGCATGATCCATAATTAATTATTTGCATTTTAAATGAAACAACATATCAGCAAATTAAGCAACATTGTCAATTCAGAAACCCTCTTTGCTGCTAATTTATTGAATAAATAGACATATGAGCTCAACAACAAAGATATTTATTGATTTTAATTTGATATTTAGGTAATTCAACCATCAGATTGGTGCAAATTGCTGTTAAACCAATTCAGCTTTCAAATGTTTTAGGCGCCACTGATCATTTATGTAACTTTTTTTCGAAAAACTATTTCTTTAGAAATCCAGAGTGCGGATTCTGACAAGAACGTTGGGGATGTCTGTGCTTCTGCAACATGTTTAGCATTGAAATGCTAATTTTAGACTTTAATAGCTTCACAAGTATACTAACTCCTTTTTGCACACAATTCTCTTTTCCAACATCCCATCAAATCGTTTTTTTGAAGCAACAAATAACCCCAAGTGGACCAAGAGAACCAGCTTTGTGTGTTGTTTGTGCGCCAGATGTACGGGTGTACCAGAAACACAACACAAAGGTTCCAGCTTGGGACTTTTGGATTAAAAATACAAAAAAATGATTAACTGAGTTAAAAATTTTAACCCGTTAAAATCTACATAATTAATTAACTTGTTAAAGTCCCAGCTGTAGTTTTTATGTGATCTTTCATTGCACAAGGAAAGGTCACATACTGAAATTAAAAATTCAGACAAGTCCCCACCTCTGATAACTCATCTGCAGATTGGCTGTAATTGTTTCCTCTGGTTTCTGTGTTTTTAGTAGAGGAGATGATGACCAGTGGATTCAATAGAATCACTGGAGGTAGTTTTAAGTTTATATGAAGAAAATAAATAATAATTCAGGTTCTTTTTGAGCTGTTAATTATAAAGAAGGCATAGATGCTTCCTTAAGTAAACATCTATGAGTCAGTATGACCTGTAGTAGGGACAATTTGATCCTGCAGTAATTGTCAATCTTCTAAAATAAATCCTTTTTGCTTAATCTCTCCCAAATGACGCTGACTAATGGCTCACTGCAACAGAATTAACTCTCCTCTCTGAGAACCAGAACAAATCTCGCTTCAACTGAATTACATGAAAAGGCTTTCTCAGCAAACAAATCCCTTTACACTTGCTTTTTGAAATGTCTATTTCTGCAGCATCACTTTTTCAGATATAAACAATATTTGCAGAACAGATGTTTAATACGCAACTAATCTGAACATGAATTGAGCAAATTTGGATTTAGATTAAACTGCTAGTAAAGATTAAAAAAAGGCAAAACTGAGAACTATAATACTAGAAGGATTTTTAAGGCCCAGGCATCCCAGTTTCACTCCTTGAATTAATAATGCTATTCCCTTAATGAACATAGAGTATTGTGAGATTTTATTAAAACATTGTGTAAAAAAAAACAACTAAGTTTAAAAATTATTTAAAAATTAGTACTTCCACTGACAGATAATTTAACTTACAACAAAGTATTTTCCCATATTGTAAGTGAATAGTACTTTTTCGTCAATATTAAGGAAATATTTACTAAAAGCAAGCTCCTATTTCTTACTGAAAAGTTACTTGTAAGATACTTTTGTGTTATTTGCACAAGATACTAAACTATAAAACCTATCATTACATCTTAATAGCAGAAATAAGTTGAAATGACTTAAATTTACAAAAATATTGTCAGCACTCATTTCTATCAGTTAATTAAACTCAGAAATAAATTTTAAGTGCATCATGAGTTTTGTTGCGATTTCAGTAAATATAAATAATTGAAAAATAACAACTAGAATGTTATAATTTAATTTAATAAAACTGAGAAACTTGACCTGAATTGGATCTTCTTTAAGTGAATTTTACCACCTAAAGTTAGACTCAGTGCAGATGAGTTCAATCAACACATTTTTAAAAAGTTAGAAGTAATGAATAGGATATTCATTATAGTTCAGTTGACTGAATGAAATGTTATTGTTAACTTAAAATAGAAAATATTTGAGTAAATGTGCTTTAACTGAATTGTTTAGGTTACTAAACTTAAACTGTTTAAGGCTAAATGTTTGAGTACAGCTACAGATAGTAGACACGACTAAATGCGGCTGAAATGTTTTACAGTAAAATAATACTTGGTAATATTTTGTGTTTTTGCAGTGGAACCATCTCATGGTTTTCCATCCAGCCTAAACCCAAACTGAAGCTGTAATCCTGCCTCTCCCAGTATTTTTAGTGAACTGGACCTGTGATGGCTGACTGAGCTGAAACACACATTTCCTCTTGAAATGTGCATTATAATTGTGTTCTGCAGTGACGCTGCCTGTGTAGCTCTTCATGTTTTTCCCAGGCTCTGCACACGGCTGAGAGTCTCTTGGATTATAGCAAAAGAGCACTGGCTCATTATTGGGTCCTTGGTTCGGTGGCAGCTGTGGGTGCTGCCCAGAGTGCTGCTGAATTTGTGTTTATTGGAGTATCTGAATGCATAAAGACCATTTCTTGATGCGACTCAGACTTCCTAGGACATCTGTCGGACAGAATTAAGTAAAGCATGTAGTCCTCTCTGGTCCAGAGTCGCGTTTGATACGGATTTGAAATATTTATCAGAGGAGACGCATGTCCCCTGAAATCCCATCGTTGTGCTGCTGTGGTTTTAATCCTGTTGTTTATGAGCATCTACTGGCTGTTAGGACGAATCATCGTTAGTTGTTTAAGGCTCATATCTGCTATGTTGGAGGTCTCTGCCTCGACCCATGTGGCGATGCTAAAACAATTATTGTATAAGCATAAAAAAAAGCACACAGGGCTTCGCTCATGGAAATGACCTAGATATCACAAAACTATGCAAGGAAGCCATTAAAAAATGTATAAACTGCCTGTTAAAACAGAGTGGAGAAGTCTCACTGGAGCAGGGCAGCAGCGTTGCTGAAACTTTGACAGCTCTTGTAGACAACTTTACAACAAAGGTGTCAACTGAAAATGGGAGAAAAACTTCATCTGAACTTTAGAAAACCTGGAAGAAAGTCCAGGAAATAAAATGTTGGCTCAGCAGTTATTGAAGTAGCATAATGCTAATTTTACACAACGTTAATTTCCTCATTGCAGGTTTTCATGACTGAGAACTTGGAGATTCACTGACTGGCGATTTAGTGGCCAACTTCCAATTATTTTATTTATTTATTTTATTAAATTTACTTGAGAGGAATAGACACACAATTACA